TAATATCCAAAATCTACAGAGAACTTAAAGAAATGTACAAGAAGAAAAACAACCCCATCAAAAAGTGGGCAAAGGATATGAACAGACACTTCTCAAAAGAAGACATTTTTGCGGTCAACAAACATATGAAACAAAGCTCATCATCACTGGTCATTGGAGAAATGCAAATCAAAACCATAGTGAAATACCATCTCACGCCACTTAGAATGGCGATCATTAAAAAGTCAGGAAACAACAGATATATATTTTATCAATGTAATGATTTCATTGTAAATTCTGTGGTTTTTAGCATATAGACAATACTGTATCTACGAGTAATTATATTTCTAATTATTTCACTCCAACTTTATTTCTCTTTTTTACTTTTTTTAATTGAAAAAATTGTATATTTATTTAAGGTATGTAACATGATGTTTTAATATATGTATATATTGTGAAATGACTAAATCAAGCTAATTAACCTCACACATCTTTTTTGATGGTAAGAAAATTTAAAATCTGCTCTCTCAGCAATTTTCAAGCATATAATACATTGTTGTTTCCTATAATCACCATGTTGCACAATAGAATTCTCACTTATTCCTCCTGTCTAACTGAAATTCTACATTCTTTAACCAATATCTTCCCTGTCTCCTACTCTCCAGCCCCTGGTAACCACCTCTCTGCTTCTGTGAGTTCAACTCTTTTAGATTCCACATATAAGTGAGACCTTGTAGCATTTGTCTTTCTATGCCTGGTTTATTTCACTTAGCATAATGTGATCCAGGTTTATCCTTGCTGAAAATGACAGGATTTCTTTCTTTCTTAAGGCTGAATAGTATTTTGTTGTGTATATATACCATATTTTTCTTATTCATTTATTTGTTGATGGACAGTTAGGTTGTTTCCATATCTTAGTTATGGATAATAATGCTGCAGTGAATATGGGAGTGCAGATACCTCTTCAATGTAAGTATTTCATTTCCTTTGGATATATATCCACAAGCATAATGGTTCGACCATATGGTAGTTCTGTTTTTAACTTTTTTTTTTTTTTTTGAAATGGAGTCTTGCTCTGTCACCCAGGCTGGAGTGCAGTGGCGCGATCTCGGCTCACTGCAACCTCTGCCTCCCGGGTTCAAGCAATTCTCCTGCCTCAGCCTCCCCAGCAGTTAGGACTACCATGCCCAGCTAATTTTTGTATTTTTAGTACAGACAGGGTTTCACCACATTGGCCAGGCTGGTCTCGAGCTCCTGACCTCATGATCCACCCGCCTTGGCCTCCCAAAGTGCTGGGATTACAGGCATGATCCACCATGCCCGGATCTGTTTTTAACTTTTTGAGGAACCTCCATACTGTTTTCCAAAATGACTGTATTAATTTAAATTCCCACCAACAGTTTACAAGGGTTTCCTTTTCCACACATCCTCAACAACATTCTTTAATCTCATATTTTTTATAATAGCCATCCAAACAGATGTGAGGTAATATCTCATCCTGGCTTTAATTTGCATTCCCTGATGATCAGTGATGTTGAGCATTTTTTTAATAAACCCATTGGCCATTTGCATGCCATCTTTTGAGAAATGTCTTTTCAGGTCCTTCACCCAATTTTTAAAATTGGATTACTTGTTTCCTTGCTATTGAGTTCTTTCAGGTGCTTATATATTTTTATATTAACTCCTTATCAGATGTATGGTTCACAGATATTTTCTTCCATTCTGCAGGTTGTTTCCTCACTCTGTTGATTGTTCCCTTTCCTGTGCAGAAGCTTTTTAGCTTGATAATTCCCATTGTTTATTTTTGCTTTTGTTGCCTGTGTTTTGGGGTTATATCAAAAAGCAATGGCAACAAAATACAAAGGCAAGAAGTTTTCCCATTTCCTCTAGATTTCAGAGCGGGATTGTCCAGTATGGTAGCCACTATTTAAATGTGTGACCATTTGAAGTTAAATTTAAACAGAAGTGTTACTCTTTCAGGTCTTACGTTTAGATTTTTCATCCATTTTGAGTTGATTTTGTTATATGAATTGGTTCTCTAGTCTTACTGTAAAACTCTCAAAGACTTTATGTAAGATTGGAATTTTCAGCTCTGAGAATTCAAACTGGCACACAAAACTAACTGAGCTTGGTGTTCTCCTTAAGGATAGATATTTTTTAACTAAAGATTCACGTTTTTCATAAACATAGGATGATTCAGGCTTACTATTTCTTCTGGAGTCAGTTTTGGTAATTTATATTTCCTGTAAATATTTCTACTTCACCTGATTCCAGATTGATTGTTGTAAAGTTGTTCAATATATTCTATTTTATTACCTTTCTATTATTACAAATAGAATTATAATTCTATTTGTAATTGTGCCTTCTTTCACTTTTGGCATTGGTTTGGTTTGTTTGTAATGTCTTCTCTCAGTTTTATTGAACTTTTTGATTCTAAGGATTGATTGTTTTTTCCCTTTATTCCCTCCCTCCACTCAAAACCAAAACCAAATCAGGCAAGTGTCTTTTCCTACTCTGCTACTCAAGAATCACAGTCAACTTTTTCTATAGAGGGCCAGGTAGTAAATTTATTCTCTTCTGTGGTCCATACGGCTGCAACTAGTCAACTCTGCCCTCATTTTGCAAAAGCAACTACAGATAATATGATAAGGAAAGACATGGCTGTGTTTCAATGAAACTTTACAAAATCAGGTAGTAGGCTGCGTTTGGCTTACAGGTTGTAGTTTGCACATCCCAGCTCTAGATCCAGCTGCTGTAAAAAGTCCAGCTTCAGATCCCTCCCTCTAAAGAGGATATCGATTGCCTGTCCTCCGCCTTACTCCCAGGACAAAAATTGGATGACAATTGCTTATCTTTCCAGTTTCACTTACTGTTTCCAGCTTTGAACCTCTTCATCACTTCCAGGCTTTTCAGACATTCTTTATTTTCACATATGATTAACAACGCATTTTTAAAGATTTATTTTAAATATTCTATCCAGCATTGTTAGATGTTCTACACTGGTTTGGTTTTTCTGGCTATTGCCAAAAATGGAAATCTCGTCACTGGATTTTGCCATAGGGCATCTTTTTCTCTTCCTTCCTTCTTTTCCTTCTTCCTTTCTTCCTCCTTCTTTCTTTCTGCCTTTGCTACAAAGTACGGGAGGAGGTGGAAGTCTGACTCCTATAACTAAGTGGAAAGCTTCCATTCTCAGGCAAATACTAGGAATAATATTACAGCAGGCATCAGATGAGAGGTCTGACCCGACTGTAACAATTCAACATCACACTTCGGACACACTCTTGATCCACAATTCCTGATTTGCTTGGAAATTGAATCATAAATGATGATTTCTAGCAAGTTTATTCCTGATAGTTGGTCCTTGGATGAATTAATTGGTCACTTTCAGGGAAGCACTGGTTGACCAGGGTTTAACTGAGGACAATGTGAAAGAACATTCTGTTACCCAGAGAGTACAGGCTTATGTCCTGTGGGAGGAATAACAGAAAAAACAAATGGTAGCAAGGCTGGGAAAAACTGAGCACCTTTTCCCAGTGGGACCAAGTTTGGGAAGTGGCTGATTCTGCAGCATCTGGATGAGCAGCAAGAGCTGGGAGGAAACAGTGGAGCAGTGGAAGATCTGAAGCTAAGAGGCTCAAGGTTGGCCAGTGAGCAATCTCACGGCTGGGAAAGTCTTGCAGACCCAAGACAAGGAGTCCCTACTTTCCTTCTTTGATTTAGAAACTTTTGTGAAGGGTGATAGCTGTGTGAAGACATGAGAGAAACCAACCCTTTAATTAAATTCTATAGGTTTAAGGTTTATTATGGTTTGTGTTGATCAAACCTCTTTATAGCCTATACCTAGAGTACTGAAACTCAGAGAGACAGAAAGTTGAATGGTGGTTACCAGGAGACAGGGATGGGAGGGAAGGAGGGAATGGGGAGTCTGTGTTTAATGAGGACAGAGTTTCTGTCTGAGATGATGAAAAAGTTCTGGAAATAGATGATGATGAGGTTGTACAACAATGTGAATGTACAAATTTTATGTTATGTGCATCTTACCACAATAAAAAAAATTTAAATATAAACCAAACAAACCTCTTTGTAATCTCTTTCAAGTGAGGAATTACCAAGTGCTCAACAGGCTGCTTAGAAGGGGAGGCAGGGGTGAGGGGCAATGCCAGGCACATGGCCCGCTTTGTACACTTACGATTGCTGTTATTTATTGAGTGTCTACTCTCTCTGCCACCTCCTACACTAAGCACTTTACATGTACTCATTCTAATCCTAAGAAAGAGAAAAAGAAAGAAAAACAGGAGCCTGCAAGGCTGTGCGGTGCATCGTGTAGCCCATATTTTACAGAACCAACTTAGCGTCCTTGTGGTAAGAGTGTTTCTGGTGGGATGGTAAAGTCGTGTGTTTGTGAATCGTACATGATTCAGTTCAATTTTTTTGGAGTTAATGATTCTACAAGAAAATATAGTCGAACTAGACATTCACTTATGGTGGAGCTCCGCTGGGGTTCCTGGGCCTGCTGACTGTTTGGTCCCTAACTCTTAGTAATAGGGCTTCTCCCTCCCTTCCCCCCACGTGCAGAGTCCTAGTAACAGAGCCCCCGGCAGAGAGGCTGCTGCTCTCAGGCCCTGGCCAGGGTGATGGATGTGAGTTTGCTCGGTCCTTACTCCACGTGGGATAACCAAGAATGTCCAGATTTTTACTTAAATTGGAACTGGCACACAAAGCACACAGTCTGGCTAAAGAGGACTAAGCAGATACATGTGAACTACCACAGTCAAACAGCCTCTAGTGGGACATCAATGTACTTGTCAATGGCGGGAATGGGACAGGAGGCTGCAGACCACTGTACCTTCCTAAGGCCACTCAGGAAAAGGCCAGTCCCCAATTTGTTTCACTGTGAGGCGGTTGCGCGGTTAGAGCCCAGACACGGTCACCAGACTCCCAGACTTGGATTCAGCTCCACATCGTGTCACCCTGGGTAAAGGATGTACATCTCTGCATGCCTGGGTTTGTCACCTGGCAGCATGGATGCTCAGGTGACTGACCCGTCAGGACTGCAACAAAAGAACTGAAGCTGCAGGAGCGAGCTGGCTGGTGCTGTGCGGAGCTGTGGTGCAGAAGGCCCTCACCAGGGGTGCCCGGAGCCAGGGACTGTGCGCCGCGGACTGGGTCCAGGTCACAGGCGCTGGGTGAACAGAATGAGAAGACGAAGTGAGGATGTACTCGTTAGATGCTCACGAAAGGCCTTCTTCCCCTTGGTTGGGAACGACCCCCCAGAAACTAGCCCCAGACCGCACCTGGATTCAGCTGCAGGCAACTCAGAGGAGCATGAGCCCAGGGGCCTCGGGAGGGCTTCGGTGGTTAGGAGGGGGGTGAAGGGAGACTCGGGAGGGCCGCGGGTGGGAGGTGGGTGGGGAGGGGGTCCTCTGGAGGGTCTGGAGCCCGCAGAAGCCTGGCGATGACGCAGGCCCAGTGCACTTGTCCCGGGCTCCTGTCTAGGCCCACAGAAGCTCCATGTTGGTTTCTTTGTACCCACATCACACTTACTGTATTTCTTCTTCTTTCTTTTCCTCCCCCAGCAGCTCTAAGAGCCCTACAGCTTGCATGGAAACACAACAGACTTCCCTTTTGCACTGTCTGCGGGGACAACTGTTCCAGCCCTGAGGGGACGAGGGAACGCTGTGCTGTGGGGAAAGCCCGGGGAAAGCCCGGGTGGCAGGAGGTGGCGGGGCTCCTGGAGGAGGTGCTGGGATGTGCTGCTGTGGCTGCTGAGAAAGGTCCTGAGGACGCAGCCTGCCCCTTCCCCGAGCTTCGAGCTTCGAGGGAGCCCCGCGGGGAAGACCCGCAGGGTCTCCGGGAGGGCGGAACAGGGGAGCCTGGAGTCTCAGGGCTGAGGGGAGCAGAGTCTTTCTGGGAGGTGAGCGTCCCCAGCCTGCCCTCCCTGCTCACTGCAGGTCGCGCACCTGCTCTGCTCTGGGCCTCCCCTCAGCCCTGGCCTCTAGGCAGTTTCCTTTCTGCCAGGTAGATTCTGTGCAACTTCATTTATTCAGAATCTGGATCAACAAATGAACACTCAGGGAGGAAAGGGGTGTTTGGAGGGGTGGAGAGGTTTCCAAGCAGGCGCCCACCTGAGGGCCCCCTGAGGGGAAACAAAGGGGACTTAAAGCCAGGTTTCCAGCTCGGCCACCCCTTCCTTTTTTCTTTTATTAAAATAAATATAAACAAAGAACTTGAATTATTTTGAAATAACTCTTGGTATCTGGACTGTGTTCTGTTGACCACAACATTGCTCTGGGACTGAACCGCGTGGGTCTCTGCTCTTCCTAAGTGTTACATAAGAATAGCGAACCCATGAGGTCAGCTTTAAACCCGTTTCTTCCCATAACCTCCTGGACCAAGGCCCAAGGAAGTCTGAGAGGAGCTCACGGTCCAACTCTCACCAGGAGGCGCCTCTTCTCTCTCTAGTTGGCAAGAGGCGATGAATGTCTCCCAGTAATTTAAGATTGTTCGTGTTTGTGTAGAAAAGCCAAGCACGGGCCCATATTCTAGAGGATTGCTTGTGGCAGGCAGAAGGCCATCAAAGACAAACACAAACAAATGAAAAGGTGTCTTTTGAAGCTAATGGAGCAGATCAGATTGGTGAAAAATAGATTAACAATAGCATTGGCAACAAAACTTTCAGCATAGTGCTTGCCTGAGAGGACTTACAGCCCTTTAAAATTGACAGTGGGACCAGGCACCATGGCTCACAACTGTAATCCCAGCACTTTGGGAGTCTGAGGTGGGTGGATCACTTGAGTCCAGGAGTTTGAGACCAGCCTGGGCAACATAGTGAAACTCTGCCACTACTAAAAATACAAAGATTAGCCGGGCATGGTGGTGCTCACCTGTAATCCCAGCTACTTGGAGGCTGAGGCACAAGAATTGCTTGAACCTGGGAGACAGAGGTTGCAGTGAGCCAAGATCGTGCCACTGCACTCCAGCCTGGATGACAGAGTGAGACTCTGTCTCAAAAATAAAATAAAATAAAATAAATAACATTGCCACTGGGTGGAACTGTAGACAAGGCAAAGATGTGTCTATACAGTTCCAACCAAGAGTAAGGCAATTACAAAAATTGACTTTTGCATACCTAAGGGCATTGCCTAGATATTTGGAATCATATATCTGGTTAATTTGAGTTTTTTCATAGAAAGCAGGTAAACATAGCCAAATTTTATAATGAAGTAAATTTTCAATCTCATGTTAACCTTAACTCTTTCATAGTCTGAATAGATCATATTCACAGTGATATGAGAGCCAGATATTTTAAAATCATAGGAATAATGTTCTTTGTTTATGTCACAATTACACTAAGTCAGCAGTCCCCAACCTTTTTGCCACCAGGGACCAGTTTCATGGAAGACAGTTTTCCACGGGCAGGGTGTATGGGTCAGGATGAAACAGTTCCACCTCAGATCATCAGGCATTAGTTAGATTCTCATAAGGAACGTGCAACCTAGATCCCTCATATGTGCAGTTCACAACAGGGTTCATGCTCTTTTGAGAATCTAATGCCACTACTGATCTGACAGGAAGCAGAGCTCAGGTGGCAATGCTCACTCACCACTCACCCCATGCTGTGCATCCCAGTTCCTAACAGGCCACAGACCAGTATGAGCCCACAGGTTGCAGACCCCTGCTCTACGTAGTCCAAAACGGCTTACCAAATGCACCCTTCCAAATATGCCAGATATTCACTGTGTTCTAAAATTTCTTTATTATAAGAGTCAGAGTTAGTAAATAAAATTATAAAAACAAAAGACACATATAATATAATGTAAAATATAATCCAGATCGTGACTCCTTCCTTATGACTTTCTAAAATGTAATATTTTGCTTGGAAAGTGTCACAACTTGTAAGTGTGGCAAAAACTCACTAGAAACTACATTCTGAGTACTCCCGTGACAACATTGTTAAAACACTCTGAGACCATGCATTTAATATTCTATATTAAGGCCTCTCTACTCCCATAATTTCCCCTACATAGCACTATGAAGTCATGTAAGAGTAGTCAGAAGGAAACAAAACTATTAAAAATATCTTCCAAAAATGAAAAGATGCCAAAAAATCACACAAGGACTTAATAACCATGGTATTTACAATGGAAAATAATGCTTCTGCCAGAAACTCTGTTTTTACTAGCCAAGGCTTTTTTTCATGTTTAATTTTATATACAAGCCTTGTGCCTGGATTTATGATTAAATTATTTTCTTTTCAACTTCCCTTTGTTACCTTGGTTTTGTTGATATTGAACTATTTGAATTCTACAGCAATAGCAAACAAACGTAAAAACCAACTTCTATACACAGTGCCGATTAGGCCCAGCTCTAATCACTGAACCAACTGTAGGAGACAGATACTATTATGTTGCTCTGTATACACGAAAGAGCTGAAGCACTCAGAGGCTAAGTAACTGCCTGAGGTCACACAATTGCTAAGTGGTAGAGCTGGGAATTGAACTCAGGCAAGGCTGGCTCCAGAGCCTATGTTTCCACCATTTTTCTAAGCTGTCTTTTTATAGCATTTCTAGAACTCTCAGAGCAGCAACCCAGTGATGTTAGCCCAAACTCATCAATTTTGCAAGTTATAGGATCTGTCTGCTCCTTGAACAAACCTTTCTCAAGCACGAATTGGATTCATGTTTTTGCATCTGTATGAAAGGCACAGGGACAGACGGGGGGAAATTTGTGTCTCCTACTCCTGAAAGATTCAGAGTCTCTGAGTAAGATGAAGTCATAGAAGTTTCATTTATCTTTTGGCAAGGGGAGGGGCTGAGCTCAGACTGCAGCATCTGCTCAGCGCAGCCTCCTCCTCCTCCCAAGTCATTCACTCTAGAGCGAGGGGGAGCCTTTGCTGTGCTCCCCAAAGTTCTTTCCTGCCCTAGGTTCCTGCCCTCGACCACCCTCGTGCATGAACTCATCATGGTTCTCCGCAGGTCTCCTCTCTTTGATGCAGCCATTACTCCATCGTCAGGTAGAATATCTTCACCTGTTCCTCTTTTACTCACAGAAGAAAGTTCAGCCTCCTTAGGCCAGCACTAAAGGCCCCAACTTATCTGCTGCTACCCGGAGTCACCTCCTGCCACTCTCTGGGGCACTGTGCTCCCAACATAGGACTACTCCCTGGCTCCTCCACCTTTGCTGGGGCCTTTGTGTCTTCTCATCTCTCTCTTTCTTGGCCTTGTGCCGTGTCCTCCACAAAGCCTCCCCAGCCAGCCCTTATAGTGAGAGGTAAAGTATTCCTCCTCTCTGTGCTCCTGGACCTCTGAACCTGCCTCTACCCAGAGCATTTGACAGAAATGTTAACAGCCTTCTAGAGCACAAGGGATCCTCTCCTCCTCCCCATTCTCTCTAAGTTGCAAGCACCCTGAGGGCAAGTCACCACACTTTCCAGCCTGTGGGATCTATCACAGAGTTCCAGGAACCTGAAGGTCAATAAACCTACCTCCCTCCTGGAAAAGAATGTTCTGCAGCCTCCCTGCCCTGCAGGCTGAACAGGGGATGACTCTGCAGAGACAGATTAGAGCCCCACTCTGCTGCCCCAGCTGGCCCTCAGCTTCAGCTGCCGTCTCTCTCTCCAGAAAGGCCGCTGCAGCCCTCTCTGCATCCCCTTGGTGTCTGCGTATACCCCTGAAGGGTGGTACAAAGCAGGGGGCAGTAAAATGAGGCACAAATTCACATTAAAATATATACAATTCAGTGAGCAGTATTACACTGAGGCTTTGCAGAAAGCTCCAAGGGAGCAGGAAAGAAATCAGACCTTCCCCACCCCAACCCCGGGATTTTAGAGAAAACTTCATGCCGCTGGTAGCCCTCCAACTGAAGGATGAGGTCAAGATGGGACCTGCTCATCCCCAAACTGCCCGCCAGACCTCAGTGTGGCTGGTGTGTCCCACAGCATTGGTGCACACTCAATCCATGCAGAGAACTCAAGGAATAGCAAAATGCAGGCCCAGAGGGGTGGAGTCCTGGGAAGCCTGTGGACAACTGCAACACAGCACTGCAGGATTCATTCATTCCTTCAACAAACACCACTGAACAGGTACTACATACGGACCAAGGGCTACATTAAGGCTAGGATGATGAGCAGACTGCTCCCCATGCCCAGGGACAGATGAGGAGGATGGCCACGGTTCAGATGCACGACCACTTGGCCCAGTGCCAGCTGCTGGAAGAGTGGAGACTGGCATGGGCTGTGTGTGGGCAGAGAGGTTTCCCCAGGGAAAAGGCTGCTGTGGAGGGAGGGGACGGGGGTCAGGGAGAACACTGGAGATAGCAGAAGCACCAAGGATAAACAAGACCTGGAGGGAAGCTCCCACCCCAGGGCTGGAAGGGGAGCCCCAGAGGCATTCCAGGCTGGAGTGATGTGTTCACACCTGTGTGTGACTCTTCTCTTCCCCAACTGAAGTCAGAGAAAGACCGTGGAGACTAGTCAGAAGTCTCAAAAATCTAGCAGTTTGCAGCTTGGATTTGGAGTCGGGGAGTGGGTAGAGGTGGACATAAGAGGCTTGGAGGAGGTAAATTAGTAGATTTAGGAGAGGGGGGTGGAGGGGAGGCTCAGGGACACTCTGATTACTCACTTACATCACTGAACCTTCACCACGGCTTCTCTGACATTTCCTTGATGCATTCATCAGCTAGTTATGAAAGCTTCAGGGAGAGCTTGGAGATAAAAAACTATTCAGGCTCTTGCATGCATGTAAATACTATTTTCTTGAATTCAAATTTACACGATAAGTTGGCTGCAAGCAGAATTTGTTTACTTCAAAGCCCTGTACATGCTCTCTGGCAGATAGGAGGCTAAAATTAGCTTGATATATTTGTGGGCATTTTTTTCCTAATTTTAATTAGAAATTAAATGTAGATTAAGTTAGAAGTATGTAATTAATTGCTAATTAATTTTTTTTTTTGCCAGCACACTGCTCTGCCAATTTTCTAATTAAAATTTTAGTGCCACAGTACTTATAGGAATTTTTAATGCATTTTACTCATGGTTTCTTGTGTTTTTCCAAAGATAAGTTATTTTTTTCCCTCTGAAATTTTCTTTTATAATCTTATCAGTAAACCTTCTCTTAGTTATCAGGGTAATTCCTAATTTCCA